TTTGGAATCCCGTCTTGCAGTTACTTTACTTGACCTTCACAGCACAGCTGCCAGAATTACATCTGTTGTTTATCAGTGCAAATGGGAGGAATATATAGTTCCACCACTTGGCAAAGGACCTGGGGAGAACACATTTTCGAAGATACTTTTGTACGGAAGCCAAACCCTATCGTTGGCTTATCAATAATTAATACAAGGGGCCATTTACAAGTCAGGTACAAATAAAGCAAAAGCCTGGGGTATCCTACCCCGAGCCTTCTAAACATGACCCAAAACCCAAACTTACTGCCATCGAGTGGATTCCAACTCATAGCAATCCTACTGGGTTTCCAAAGCTGTAGATCTCTACGGAATCAGACTGCCACATCTTTCTCTCCACGGCTGCTGGTGGTTTCGAACTGCCAACCTTTTGGTTAGCAGTCGAGCACCTTAATCACTGAGCCACCAGGGCACCTTCTAAATATGACACTGTTGAAATTAATTCTCATGCAAACAATTAGATCACCAGCTACAAGGAGATAGAACCTGTTCTCCTTATCCTAGTCTTCATTTCATCCTGATGGACTTTGATAGCGCATCGTCAAGACTGTCCTTCTTGCAGAATCTGCACTCCAGTCACACGTGGCTACTAAGCACTTGAAACGTAGTTAGTCCAAACTGAGATGTGTCGTAGTATAAAATACACACTGGATTTCAAAGGCTTAGTTAAAAGAAAAAAAAGTAAAATACCTCCCGAATAATTTTTATATTGATTATATGTTGAAATAATATTTTGGATTACTGGATTAAATAGAATACATTGTTGAAATTAATTTCACTTGTCTTACTCTTTTTAAATGTGCCTTATAGAATATTTAACTATGTGGTTCCCTTATATAATTAGTGTATATATAAATTGTATAGTGTACATATACAATTTATATATATGAGATGTATATCTTAATATATATTTCTCTTTTATTTCTATTAAACAGTGCTGCTCTAGACCCTTGAACCACAGGATGAGGATGGATATAACCTTTGCAGAATGAGCAGAGATTTATCTGCAGATTTATAAAACAGGTATTTCCCATGTTCTGCTGACCTTGTCGCTGATGGCATTTAAAAGTAGCATTCTTCACCAACTGCTCTGACAGGGATCACAATAATACAGGATCCCGGACAGAGCAAAACACAACAAAATGCACAAAAAAAGACCAGATTTTTACTAGTCTGATACAGACTGGAGGAACTCCTGAGACTATGGCCCCCAGACATCCTAACTCAGAACTGAAGCCACTCCTGAAGTCCACTTTTCAGCCGAAGATTAGACAGGCCTATGAAACAAACAATGACACATGTGAGGAACATGCTTCTTAGTTGAATCAACTATATGAGACTGAATGGGTAACACCTGCCCAAAAGCAAAGATAAGAAGCCACGAAGGGACAGGAAAACTGGACGAATGGATACAGGGAACCCAGGGTGGAAAGGGAAAAGGGGAGAGTGCTGACACATTGTGGGGATTGCAACCAATGTCACAAAGCAATTTCTGTATAAATTTCTTTGCACAAAAAGCTCATTTGCGCTTGTAAACTTTCACCTAAAATACAAAAAAAAAAAATTTTAAGTAATATTCTTATCATAAGAGTCTCTTTTAATCACAGATAGAGATGCAGTCTCATTAGTTTAGGCTTTTTCTTGAACCATATTATGTAGTAAATGTAGTTTAGTCAAGAAGTGCCTTTGAAAAGTTTCATCTTGAACATCTCCCAATTATCTAAGGCTTAGAATCTCACCAACTGCTGTCAGATACAACAATACAATTTTACTTTGAAAACCTCAGTTATCTTCCCTGGAATACTGACTTTGTTGGAGATAATGAAACATGAATTTAACTATACCACAAGTTACCAAATGTCCAAACTCACTACAGCAGGGCAAACAGCAAGAGAGGTTATGAGAGGAAATGTCTGGGCCCATAGATTGTCCAGAAAAGAGTTCCTTCATTTATTCGTTTATTCATTAAACAAACATTTATGAAATGTATACCACCCGCCGAGCACACTTCTATTTGTGGTTTTCTATTTTACAGGCTTTATGACGGAAGAGATATACCATTCTCAAAAACGAAGCTATCAGACAGAAACATTTCAAATATTCACCAGCTGCCCGCTCCTCTCTCCTTACTTGGGTTGTTTTTGCTGTTTTGAGGTGGTATGATCATATTCTTACCAGATTTTTGTTTGTTTGGTTGGTTGGTTGGTTTAAAAGATTAAAATTGTGCTGTCTGCTTCGGGTTTCTCAATAGCTTTTTCAAATAACCCTCAGTATTGCCATAAAAATTAAACTAGTAAATAAAAGATTAAGGAAACGTAAAACATCAGCTAGGTTTTTGTTTCTTTGTTTTTGTATTTGCTCCTTGCTTTTCCTGTCTCTCCACTACCCCTAATCTTTCCTTTAAATGAAATGGTTTTAGTGTTTGCTATAAACTAGGTTAACAACCATTATTTTTCTCCACGCTTATATACATGGGACAAAGCTAGGTTTGGGGGAGCCTGGAATTTATCTAATATGGGGGCCCTTGTTAAGAATACAAAATGATGAACGCAAAATTCAGTGTAGGACCTTAAAACAGGCCTGTGCAAGGGAGGGTCCCTAAGTTTAAGCTTTATTAGCTTCATAGTAAATCGTCTCTGCTCATATAACACAAATATCCATAAATACATATATGGAGGTGGATCTTGTTAGTGTTTGTTTTATTTAAAAAGGGGGGGCATATTATAAGCACTCTTCTGCATCTTGCCTTCTTAACAATACATTGTAAAAACCATTCCAAGACAACTGGTAGAGCTCAAATTTGTTTTGTAAATGACCACATAACATTCCATGGTACATGTGTACTACAAGTTATTCAAACTTCCCCCTTACTAGCATGTATTCCCTTTGTTTATGGTTTTTTTATTTGTTTTTGGCTCGGATTTTCTTCCCCCTTGTGTCACAATAACAATGCTTTTATGGTTTAAAAAAAAAAAAAAAACTCCTTGGAGACTTTAATAAAATGTACTGAATTTCTTAATTTGGAGAGAAATGGCAGTTTTATGATATTAAGCCTTTCTACCCAAGAACATAGTATATGTTTTCCCGTTTGGTCACATTCCATCCACAGGGAATTTACAATCCAATAAAGTAAGTGAGGTTTGCACCCAAGTAGCTATAACCAAAAACAAAAACCAAACTCATCATCGAGTTACTTCTGACTCATAGCGACCCTACAGGACAGAGTAGAACTGTCCCATTGGGTTTCCAAGAGCGACTGGTGGATTCGAACTGTCGACCTTTTGGTTAGAAGCCGTAGCCCTTAACCACTACGTCACCAGGGCTCAAATAGCTATAGTGTCAGAAAAACGGGAAGTTCAAATTGTAACACATGAAATTGAGAGTGAAATCTGATCTGCGAGGGATATGAACACACATGAAACAGAGGAGGGGGAAGGTGAAAGGAGATGGGCATCTGGGGGGGAAGGAAGCCCAGCCATGGCATGGGGACATTCAAGAAACAGTAAGAGAGCAGCTCAGCGGGGAAGGAAGAGAGTGCATCCAGTGAAGAAACAGGAGACCAAGCTGGAAAGGTGGGCTGGAGTTCATCCACAGCTAAGAACGCCAGGACCCAGGAGTTTATTCTCATTTCAGCGGGGCAATGGGAGCTACAGCCAGCTTGGGGCCAAGAATGAGATGAGAGCTCTGTTTTAAGATCACTCAGTCAGATGTGTGGAAGACAACCCAAGGGGAGAAGGACTGGGCCCAATTAGAGGGCTGCTACAATAGTCCAGAGGGGAGGAAGTGAGGCCTGAACCAGGGGAGAGGAAGTGAGAACAGAAAGGAAAGGAGACATGTGACACATCTGTAGCACCAGCAACGGGGAATTCAAATACTTATTAGATGAGGGAGGAAAAAGATGTTTCTAGTCTTGAGCCTGGGTGAGTAGTAGGCTGGTGATGCCATTAACACAGAAGAAAAAAGCAGAAGACCATGTCTGGATGATCAGCTATCAGTTTCTTTTCAGATATGTTAAATTTACTATGTAAGTAGAATATTCAAGTAGGTATATCCTAAACTAGAACCCAAACTGTGAGAGTTGCCCTTTGTCTTGATAAGGAGAGTGATAAATTTTATCACTCCTCTGGGGAAACCCAACAAATGAGCTCACTTTAATAAAATGCTGAACCTAGTCACATTCCGCAGGCTTCCATCTTTCAGGAAAAGTTAACTACGTCTAGGTTCCTCCTCAGGCTACTCAGAAGGTGCTCTTCTTCCACATTGCCTTGTAACACAACCTAGCTTGAACAGCCTTTCCCTAAACTCTACATCACAAGCAGGCAAGACAAAGCTATGTAATGGTCCCAGGGGGAAAAGTTCAGCCAACTCTTACAACTAAGTAAATTCAGCCATACTTATAAAGAAAATTTATGCAGTCAATAATGTTATAATGCACAAATCCAGTTTGGTTTTAACCAAAATCTGACTTTTAAAATTAAAAAACCCCATTGCCATCGAGTCTATTCCAACTCATAGCAACCCTATAGGGCAGAGTAGAACTGCCCCATAGGGTTTCCAAGGAGCACCTGGTGCATTCAAACTGTCAACCTTTTGGTTAGTAGCCGCAGCTCTTACCCACTACGCCACTAGGGTTTCCAAATTTTAAAACAGACTTATAAAATTTCAATACCAAACTATATTTTCAAGTTATTTTGACTTATAAACCAAAGGTGGAAAGTGATTGTCAATAAAGGTTTGATAAAGGGATATATAGAGAGACATGGCATTTTCCTAAATTAAAATTTTGGTGACTACTCATTCAAAGACAATAACTAAAGCTGAAAGGGCAAACTTGCAAACTACAGAAAACTCCAGAATGCTTTTATTTAGCAGCCACTCAATCTGTAATACTTAAAAGCTAGGGGAAAAAAAAATTTTATCAAGATAAAATTATATTTTGTAAAAAATTGAAATGTACAAACCTCATAATGTTCATATTCATCCACATCAAATGTCTCAAAGTCAAAAAATCCATGTTGTAATCCCTGAAAGCAGAATTTGAATTAGTTTTGCCACACTAAGTTGGTAACATTTACTAGTCTGTCCTGGCACTCCTGCTCACAAAATGATCCTCACTGACTTGGAGGAGAAAGCTTGAAACTTTTGATTTTTAATGCACATCCAGAAATTATCTTATAATGCTAGTAATTTTGCTTTGAGACTCTCTTACAAATAAGACTGAACACTTATGAAATTATGCCCCACAGATATATCTAGAATTCTGATTTAGACTAATTTTATATGTAAAAATAATTATATAAATGGAACATACTAGCAAATTTATAGTCAAAAACTGTTGGTGATTGTGCAATTAATTCATATCTAACTATGGCAGAAGACAGGAGAAGAAAAATCAATTATTCTTAGGAGGTTTTGTTTTCCTTTTATCAGTAATGAGATATTTAGTAAAGAGGGCATTTTTAATTAACAGGCCCTTACTGTTTCCTAAAACTCTACTTTGGGAGAATGTGTTTCATGGTGATAGTTTCTGACAAAGTGAAAGTGTGCTTGGCTGCTGCTACAATTTAGAAGGAAGAACTGTTATTTTTAACAACACAAAGAAAAACTTCATACTTCTTTTTGTAATGTAATGACTTAGAACTTTTAAAAATTATCCAGCTTGCTCAGATCTAATATATTGAAGAGGACAAAGAGACTTTTATTTCATAAACTGTGAAGCTATACAGATCACAAAAGAATACAAAACCATAAGTACTTTTAAAAATTACATGACAGAGTCATTAAAAATAGAAGAAACTATTAAGCCAAGCTCCAGCAGATCTATCTTTGAAAATACTCTCAAGGCCAGTGTTTTTCAAAATACGGACCACCTACATCAGAAGCACTTAGGGTAACTATTAAAAATACAGATTCCTAAACCCTATCCCACAACTACTAAATTAGAATCTCTGGGGGTGGGTCTCAGGATCAGCATTTTTCACAAGACTTCCTAGGTGATTTTTATGTGCTAAATTCTGACAACATTGGTTAAGCTAGCCCCTATAGAATAATCAGAACAAGTTATTTAAATTATTTCACCTTTAAACAAAGCAGCTTAGTTCATCCATAGGCACCATTTCAAAGAAAATAGTGAGAAAAAAATACTAACTGAACTATCTACCTGTCTTCTTTTCTCTTTATTTAAAGTGTGTTTTGTTTTCACCAAATATGAACTATGCTTATGACAATGTGAATACATCAAAATCAGAAAGATATGCTTCCAAAAAAGGTAAAAATGTGGCCATACTCCATGTACATTCTTAGGAAGCTACCTGTTGCTACGAAAAGAAGCCAGAACACAGCACATCATATAAAAGAACATAAAGTACAGGCAACGTACCTCAGTTACTGAAAAACATGTTGAAGGTGCTAATATCAGGTCACCTAAATTTTCATCTATATTTGGGCAAAATAAACCCCAACATCTGGCAAAACAGTAAGTTTACAGAAGCCCTTATGAACAAAGTCACACCTTTCCTTTACAACAGGAAGGATGTCATAAATTTCAGTATCAAATTACCAGTTACCATAGTAACAGGCAGGCTATTCTACTGTGAACTCTTTCTGAATTTCACATTGTGTTATAAAAGATATGGCCTATGTCCAAGGTGAGGAAAGCTAAAATAATGATAATAGTGACAGTAAATAAATTATACATACATTTTCCCCCTCAGGCATATTTTTTTAAATGTTGTTAACTGTGGCTTATGTATTGGGTAATATCTCTATAAAGGTCCTTAACCGGCCTACATGCTGGTAATCTTGTTTGCAGAGAGTGGGCTACAGTATCTTTATGGTTTAAGCAAAAGGGAAGATACCTGAAACTACTTTAAAGGTTTTATAGGGTTTAAATCCATTTTGAAATGAAATACCAAAATCAGAAACACATAAACATAAAGCAGGTAGCACATTTACCATACCAATTTTCTCAACTCAAAACATAGTAAAATCAGTTATATTACATCAGAGGGAAAAAAAAAAAAAAGAACTAGAATCACTACTGATACTATATTTATAATCCACAGTGATCTTTGCCAATGGGTTATGTAATATGTACACTCCTGACAGATAACAAACCATGGCTTATGTTTAAAATGGAATTATGTGCTTTAAACAAATCACAGTCTAGCTTGCATGACTTTTCAGATTGTAAATTAATATTTCTAAAACATATCTCAAAAGTTCTCAGGGATCTTTTGGACAAACTTCTTTATTTTATATATAAATAACTAAACAACTATGACCTGATTTTCAAACTACACCATGCATCAAATCACCTGGAGGCATTATTCAGAGTTTCTGTTCAGTAGGTCTGGGGTAGGGCCAGGGAATTGCATTTCCAAGTCTGTACACTTTGAGAACCACTGATTTATGATATACCTTTATATGATATCAGAAAGAACTCTGGATTGAATCAGGAAATTTGAGCTAGAATTAGCTCTCCTAATAACTCCCTGCCACCTTGAGAGAATGACTTAACCTCTCTGGGCTTGTTTTCTCATCTGTAAAAAGAGGATAATAATATCTGACCTACGTAATATTTCATGGGCCTGTAATAATATCCAATTAGAAAACTAATGTAGAAACGTTCTCCTCCACACCAACAGAGGAGAGCAGTGGCTTAGATAATTTCCTGTCTCCTCCCACACCTAGACCTAGCCTGATAATGAAGCTAAAAGATGGCAAAGCAATGTCACACCACAGCAGCAGATAGCAGAGGTGATAAACCTGCCCCAGAACACAAAGAATTTAAATGAGACAGGGCTTCCACAAGGAGTCACAAAGTTACCCCGTGTTTGCCCTACAGTCTATATTTTACAAATCCATCATCGTTCAAGAAGTGAAGAGCCTTTTGCTTATGGGCTCACCTCTCTTCTATCTAACAACAAACGAGGATGTTAAGATTATTCCTTTTTCATATTTTTAAACTCCTGTGTCAACTACAGCAAGGAGAATTGTCATTACCTTTCGGATTCCCTGCAAACAGTCGAGGATGGTGAGATTGTAAGTGCAATTTCCAAAGGAAGCATCCCTATAAACAGAAATAAATTTAATATTAAAAACTTGCATTTGGAATATTTAAATAGTAAAACACCAAAGTCAGCTGGAGGCATGCTTGTTTGGCTTCACAGCTGCCAACATGGTAAACTTAGGTAACCTGGCAGATGCTACCAGTTCACTCCTGAAGCTTAAATGAATGAAGCACTTCTGAAATTGCTTTAATCCAATAGGCAGAATTAATAAGAAAGCAAATTTAAGAGCCTGAACACTGGAGTCAGATTGCCTTGGTTCAAATTCCAATTCTGCCCTGTACTAGCTAAGATCTTGAGCAAGTTATTTTACTTCTTGGTTCCCTCAGCTGTAAAATAAAATTAATAAAGTAATTACCATTCATAAGGTTGTTACCAGATTACATAAAACAATATGCAAAGTCCTTAGTATAGTATCTGACATAGGAAGCACTTCAAAAATATGACTATTGTCACACTGTTTCATTAGGTAAAACATTCATCGTCACGAGAGGTATTCCAACAGACGAACGAGCACCTGTCATAGGAATATAGTGAATACAAGCATAAAAAGGTAAGCAGGACAATGTTATGCAGGTCAACAGCAGTCGTTTTCATGGATTAAATGTTCCCCTCTCTCCAGTAAAAAAATTTAAATAAATAAATAAATAGGAAAATGCAGTCACACTTCCAAACAATCTCCTCTCAGCATCACTGGGGTCTGTGAGAGCTTCTATTGCATCATGAAGTACTCCATCAAAAGGAGTGGGAGCCTACTGCACCGAAAATTGAGTGCTTCATACTTTATTTAAGTTTTTAGAGCAACTTAGCAGACCTGCTTTAGGCAACATAAAACTAAAGTATCAAGTTCAGGTCAGTTAAGCAAGAACTGGCACCAGAGCTTTAACACTAGCAATGTTCCAAGGTGTCCAAGGCAGGAAACTTGACCTCAGGCTCTCAGTCTCTGCCCAGCCTCCACTGCTGACCCAACGACACAGAGCTGTCAGGGACCTGCCGTGACAAAGCCAAATGTGCCACAGGCAGCCCAAGGGCAGCAGGGTGGGGGTGCCAGACTACGCCCTGCCTACAGAAATCAACCTTAAAGGGTTTTAACACATAATTAACATAAATGTAAGTTTTCTATCTCCAACTATTCCAGTGTAACCTGAACCTGTGGCTGTTAAGCCATGAACTGAAATGTAACTTCAGCATCACTGAGTTGCAGTATCCTGACAGCCTAATATAAAAATAGTAAGTTAGCAAAGCAACTTAACAGAAATTTCTTAAGGCCTGAAACTTCAACGTTAACCTATGTAAATACGAGGGGTTATTCCGGATATTGAAGCCTGATTTCAAGTGTTCTCTTTTAAAATGCCATGTAAACTCATTTTCAAATTTCTTGTGAAGATGGAAATCATATATTAAGAAGCAAAATTTTAACAGACAAAACTGGAGAAAAGAATAGCTGGGCATCTAAGATAAAATGCTAGGTTCTATAAATAACCACACATTCCTCTGTAGGCACTTATCTCTTTGGAGCAAGGATTCAGAAACTTTTTTGTGTCACAGACCCCTCCAACAATGAAGTTTGTGGACTCCTTTACTCAGAACCGAGCCCTGGTGGCGCAGTGGTTAACAGCTATGGTGAGCTACGGCTGCTAACCAAAAGGTCTGCAGTTCAAATCTACCAGCCGCTGCTCGGAAACCCTATGGGGCAGTTCTACTTTGTCCTATAGGGTCGCTATGAGTTGGAATTGACTCCATGGCAACAGGTTTGCTTTTTTTGGTTTTACTCAGAACAATGTTTTAAAATGCATAAAATATACAGGATTAACAGAACTCTGATTCAGTTAAATTTAAATACAGTTATCAAAATATATTTTAAAATTACAATACAGCAGTATGTACTTTTTTATTAATATATAACAAGATCTACTGGTAGGTCTAACTGCTATAATTCTGAAGAAGGAAGGAACATAAGTAATATTTTTATGTGTAACAACTGTAATGTGATATAAAAATGCCTATGATTTCTATTGTGACCATCAAGTATATTGCTAATACTATTACTTCCAACATTTATAATCTAATGCAATGTTGTAAGTTATAAGATTAGTGAAAATACAGATTTTTGTTTTTCTTATCTAAATTCACGGACTCTTTGAATTCTCTCCACAGACCCCAGATTAAACACTGTTTTGGTTAAAAATTAAGGCAGAAAAAAAAAAAAAACCTTCTTTGTATTTTTCTTTTTGTCATCTTTTTTTTTTTTTTTACTTCTTTGTATTTAAAAAGAGTAAAAAAAGATATGACAATTGGAGGTACCCCTTATTCCCTTAAATATATCTTCCCACCCACAGACTCAGCTAAATAATTTCACAAATATGAGTTACCAGAGAAAGCTACAGACTTAGTCTTTCGGAAAGTCTGCAAAGTATGGCAAGACTTTCATGACATCTCTTATTCTTTTACAGCCACAATTTTTATCAGTGACTGAAAAGAGACCTATGACGACTTGGTGAACTTTCTTCAACCGCATTGTTATATAAAATGGAGGTTAGGAGATAGGAAAACACCAGGCTCTATTAACCTCAAAAGTCCCTTCCCACTCTTTATCATTATTCAACACTATTATTATTTCTTTCCTGTCCATATCTCTCTCTGGGATTCTTTGCAACATAATTTAAACATTTTCAGATCTCTGTCATCTTTAAAATGAACAAACAAACCACCCAAACTGAATACTCTCTTCTCTTCGTTCCTGGGTTTTCCTTTTACCTCTCCAACCACTACTCCTTCCCAATTTCCTTTGAAAAGTCATCCTTCTCCTAATAATCTTTAAACATTAGAGATCCTTACGGTTCAATCCTAGTCCAGATTCTTCTCACTCTATACTCTCTCCCTAGACCAGTGGTTCTCAAACTAACCCAGATGGTTCATTAAAACACAGATTACTGGGTCCCTTCCCCAGAGTTTCTGATTCAGTGAACCTGCGGGAGGAGGGAAACCTGAGAATTTGCATTTCTAACAAGTTCCCAGGTGATACTAATGCTGATGCTGCTGTTCCAGGGACCACATTTTGTGAACCACTGCCCTAGACAATCTCATCTACGTAGATTATCATCTGCCAGTCACCCTCAAATTTAATTCTTCAGCACAAACCCCTTCTTAAAACTCCAAAATAGTATAAGCCAACTACCTACATGGCATTTCCACTTGGGTGCCTTAAAGGAATCTCAAACTCTCTGTGTAAGAAGAAACTTGAATCTGCCCTCATCCCCCTCCAGAATAAGAATAATGTGGTTCTCCAGCACTTCTTATCTCTGTAAAAGACACAGCTTCCACAATTGTCCAAGCCAGACCGTGAAGTCCCTTCATCTGTCTCATTCCCCTTACTCTATCCTTTACTATGTTCCATTGTTTTTTCCTCTTAAATTATCTTGAATCCATTTATTTCTCTCCAACTCCACTGCCACCTCTGATGTAGACTACGGCAATAGTCAGCCTACACCTACTCTTAGTCTTTCTAATCAATTTTCTTCACTGTAGCCAGAGCGCCATTTAAAAAAAAAGAACAAAAGCAAAAAAACAAATCTGATCTGGTTACTCATCAGCTGCAACCCTTCATTAACTTCCCACTGCTCTCAAAGTAAAGCTCAAATCCTCAGTAGGGCTACAAGACACTGTGGTTATCTGGCCCTGCCTGCCTCTCCCCTCACTCACTCTCTGTGCCCAATCACAATAGTCCTCCCCGAGCCCCTCAGACGGGCTGTTCTGCTCTCACCACAGAACCGTAGTCACATCTGCCTGGAATGTTCTTTCTTCCTACTCACCTTTGCCTAGGTAGTTCCTACTCATCCTTCAGATCTCAGCTCAAAGATTACTTCTCTCAGGTGAAAATCCCCAACCTTAACAATAGCTAGATGAGATCCCCAAGCTTCTTTTTCACTGAACTTTCTACAGTTTGAAATTATATCCTGGCATGCTTATTTGATTCTCTGTTTCTGTAATAGGCTCAAAGAAGGTAGGATCGATACATTTTCTACTACCACTGTCCCCCCAGCACCTAATACAGTGCCTGGCACAAAATAATGAATGTTTGTAGGTAATTTTTAAATTAAGTAAAGAAGTCGCTCATCCCAAGAAAATATTCTATGACCACTTTTGTTAACCAAGTAGCCTAATACCTCAATCCTCACTAACAAGAAAAGCTTTTTTTCACATTAACCCAAAATCCCTTCTGTCCATTTAAGATCATTTCCTTCTATTCTCTTCTCCAAAAGGTATATTAATTGAACAAGGCTAAAAGCAGTGATACTCAAAGTAGTTTTCTCTTCCTTTGCCAAATGCTATTAAACAGAGTTTTATTTTAACCCAGACACTTTAAGACAGGCTACGGTTTTTAGGATTTAAATCACTGTACCAATGTGCTAGAATAGATGTTTCAAAAAGTTTTAAACTGTCACAGTTTTTATTGCAGTTACAGTTCCCAGGTGCTTATTTTAACTCTGGGTTTGCTCATTCATTCATTCATGTTTTTTGAGCCAAACATTTACTGAGTTGAATAAAAGGACATGTTGTATTTCTCCACCTGTCTCATAAAGGAACACTGAAATCCCATACATTTCCACTGAGAGGAAATTTTGCACACTCCTTGCTGCCTGAGAGAACTACAGATTTTGTCTTTACCAGTCATGATAGTTTTACCATGTATTGCATTACTCTCTTAAACAGGTAAATACAGGATGCTCTTCATTCAGGAGATAAGGTAATACCCAAACAAACACCCAGGGTTTCTAATCATTCACCTCTCCTGAAGAATAAATCACGTGTCTCTAACCCCCAGTACAGAAGACTTGAGACATCCAAATACAAATTTAGCTCAACCTCATGCTTGACCATCTAAACAGGGATGAGTTATCCAATAAGCAAGGGAAGCCTAAGAAATTGTTCACTACAGATTAGTAAGTAAGCACAAGTAGCCCGTGCTTCCCTTGCTTACGTGGTCAACTGCCCTGTCAGCGATTATAAATTTGAAAAGAGGCTTTGATTCTGTAGGAAGGTGCTGTGGGTTGGGAGGGGAACAGATGCCAGCCATACCTAGAAGCAGAACCTTTGATGTGGTGGAAAAATGTGAAATTTTTCACTACAGATGATCTGGTAAGCAAAGTAAGCACCATGCTTACCTTGCCTATTGGATAATCTGCCTCTGCATCTAAACTCCATTCATCCTGGCAATTCTATTATTCTAAATGTGACTTGTGGATAAGTAGTCAGCTGAACCATAAAGGTATCATGAAGTAATTACAAAAATCCACGTAACTATGACTTTGGGGGGCACAGGGAGTTGCAGTCAATAAATATTTGTTGGGTAAAAAACTAAATGAATGAATATTTGAGTAGAAGGAGTAATTGGGATTTTTGTGTTTATGTTTTTGTATTTATTTTGCAGAGAAGCAGTAGAAGAAAAACTCAGTTTAGGAAAACTAGAATCACCACCCACAATTAAACACTAACAGAAAGGGCTGACTCACCAGTGTCCTAGAGCTGGGTTGTACAGGCTCTCAAGAGTTGGCTGTTAAATGTTCAGAAATTCTGAAAGCCCAAATCAGCCATGGTGGGAGTATTTATACCACAGAAATCAGCAAACGCTTTTCACTTAGAGAGCCAGTTTACCAACACACCACTGTTTGTAATCAAGAGTCTAAGAAATCATTCAGAATGAAGCAACCTGGTAAATACTAATAATGAGGAGATGAAACCAGAGATGGAGAATATATTTACATAAAACAATGAAAAAGCATTTCTGGAAATAAGGTTGTTCAAAATGAAGAAAGAACGAAGAAGAGAGGCACAATGTTTACAGTGTGGAGACTACACTAAAGAATAAAAAAAGAATTAATGGTAAATGGAGTAAGAGGTATTAGGAATGATCATGATCTACGTATGTTCTGATTCCATCTATCTCTGTAAATTCTCAGAATAACTAGTTGGGAGGAGTATAAATATCTGCAGAGCAATGGGTTGGAAAGGATCTCAAAAAGTCATCAAAGCAAACTTCCAAGCACTGAACTGAATCCCATCTGCAGAACCACCACAAGACCATGAGCGTCTGAAGAACAGAGAATATGTCCTTTATGTTTGTATGCCCAGAGTGCAGTACTATGCTGTAGATGCTGTGGAATGAATGAAGAAAGGAATGATCATTACCAGGAGGCCATTCAACTTATGGCTGAACATCTTTAATGGCTGGGATCTCTTGACCTATCAAAGCAAAAACTACATAAAGCAATCTTTAATCATATGCTATGTGCAATTGCAAAATCATACCCTAGACCATCACTGTCCAATGGGAATATAATGTCAGCCACAAATCAGAGCCATATATGTAATTTAAAATTTTCTCATAACCATATTAAAAAATAAGCAAGTGAAATTAATTTTAATAGTTTGTTTAATCCAATATATGCAAAATACGGTCCTTTCAACATGTAAGCAACATAAATAATTATAAATAAGATATTTTACATTCTTTTTTCATACTAAATCTTTGAAATCCAATTTGTATTTTAAACTTACAGTCTATCTCAATTCGGACAAGCCAAATTTCAAATGCTCAAAAGCATATTTAGCTAGTAACTACCATACTACACAGCTCAGCCCTAGACTATGTTGTATATATATATACTTGGGAACTAGATAAAATATTTGACACAATTGTCCAACATATACTCTGGCTTCCAGTCTCTGAACAAATCCATGACATATAGTTACCAGATATAGGGAAAAGAAAGAGTTGATTGCTTATATCATTTAAGCCTAAAAGATGAAAATGCATTTGATGAGAATTAGTGGGGAGAAGAAAGTTGTAGTCAATTCTTTAAAAGCAAAACCAAAGGGCATTATGGGGCAGGGCTAAAAGCTGAACAGGACCAGTACTTAACAAAAAACAGATCACAGGATCTCTTCCTCTTCAGATTTAACATATAGCTACACACTAATGGCTTTGCTCATCTAAAGAAACAGAGATGTGTAAAAAATGAATTCTTTACAACCATTAAAAAAATGCAAAAACACAGAAACCTGTAAAAACGGCATAGGGGTGGTGTCTGACCTCCTCTAACTTTACAAGGGGAAAGAAGAACCAAGATCAACAGCTCAAGGCTGATTCCCATGAGATGGATGTCAGACACACATCCTCTCTCCACCATTCCTACCAATTCTGACACCAACTGTCCCTTCCACAGCACTCTACTGGGTTCAATAATTCACTGCAATGGCCACACAGAACTCACAGACCAAATTCACAATTATGGGATTAGGGAAGTAACAGTTACAATTCAGGCTCAGGAACACTCAGGATACAGTTCTTCCATCAGGATAGCCTCTTCCCAGCTGTGCTCAAAGGCACACCTCTCCCCGGCCCTAGGCCTCTGCCCAAAGGCACTCAGCTTTCTCCTTCCATGGACCTGGAAGCCTACTGTGCAGTCTTCTGCTGCCAGGTCTCTGCTGCTGATCTCTCCTTCCTTGGTAGTGGTGGGCTCTTCCCTCTGCTCTGGAATTGGCTCTCTTTTAAGGCAAAACTGACCAATCCCCTTGGTGGGCCACAATTACCCTATCACACAGTCTTGCCCAATCACTTGGATGGGAGTTACAAGACCATGGCTAGAAAGGAAGGCCACACACAAAAGTAATTAATTGCACCGCAAATGGTTATGGTATAATCTTAAATAAAGAACAGGCAACAAATTAAAAAAAAAAGAATTCTGAATCATGGCTTAAAAGGCTAGTCACATAAAGTCTGCAGAACAGAATAAGTCTAAAACTAGCAATAACAGGCACCAGAAAAACAGACCAAAGGCCTTTTATCAACATCTGAGTGTCACTCACTTAGCCACATTCATTTTGGTTTAAAAACAAAAATAATGGCAATTTATCTTGAACTCTGGTAGAGGGGAAAAAAGTGCCTCATTTAATAGGCATTCAACAAAATAATTATTACTATGTTCATTAAAGTGATTGCAATCCTATTCCAAACAATCTTTGTCAACTAAGTCTGGCTTTTGGAAGTATACTATAAAAAGTACAAAAAGTTTGGCAGTGACCTTACTACAGAAAGTTTGCTAACACTCATCTAGGACCACACAAATAGAAATAACAAAAAACTGGTGTGAGTCAATTTTCACAACGCAAATCACTGAACCACTGTCTTGTTCCAGCTGATAAAAAAAATAGATGTAACTCACCTCTTGATTGTATTTAATGGGTCACAGAGACCCTGACAGTTGTTTCTGTTCTCAGAGCCTGTATAAAAAACCCGTTGCCACTGAGTCAATTCCGACTCATAGCGACCCTCTAGGACAGAGGAGAATTGCCCCACAGTGTTTCCTAGCCTGTAACCTTTACAGAAACAGACTGCCACATCTTTCTCCCCACAGAGCAGCTGGTAGGTCTGAAATGCCAACCTCCCAGTTAGCAGCTGAGCACTTAACCACTGTGCCACCAGGGCTCCTTCAGATCCTGTATAAATCAAAGGAAACCGACTGCGGTCAAGTCAATTCCAACTCATAGCGACCCTATAGGACAGAGTAGAACTGCCCCATCGGGTTTCCAAGAAGTGGCTGGTGGATTCGAACTACCGACTTTTTGGTTATCAGCCAAGCTCTAAACCACGAGGGCTCTCAGATCCTGTATACTGGTGTTTGTTTACCACTTTAACAAGAAAAATCTGAGAAAGACTCTACTTTTCATGTTGATCCAGGTTACTCAATATGTCCCAGCTGTTGAGAATGGACTCGACAGTCGGGACATCAATAAATTACCCCTATTTGATAAACCAGAGTCCCTGGGTGTTGCAAACGGTTAGCACACTCAGCTGCTAACCAAAAGGTTGGAGGTGCAAGTTCACTCGAAGGCACTTCAAAAAGAAAAGACTGGCAGTCTACTTCTAAAAAATCATCCATTGCAAACCCTATGGAGCACAGTTCACCATGAGTTGTAATCAAATCAACGACAGCTGGTTTTATTGGATAAACCATATATTTCCAACACTCAGTAAACTGGCACATCCTCACTATTCTAAACTAATGCAGACTCTTTTCCATTATACCAAGCATCAAAAGCAAAGGTTATTAAGCTCCATGGTGCAGAGCTGACCTCAAAGAACGGAGAAGAAGAGAGGCAGTCACTACAACAAAAACTTGACAATGAAAGGAAGTTATCTACAGAAGTCTTAAGACGGCATAAAAGATTTTTTTTTTCCATACTTCTGATACTCAACAGAAAAACATGGTAAGGAGAGCTTTCCCTTTGAAATACAAAGCTAATTATTAAATAAACTTTGCTGAAAATCACAATACCATAATTAACCTAACAACTATCTGGTTCAACATTTCATGTAGAGATAAGTTTTATAATTACATCTACCAGCACATGTTTGCTTTAGAAGAAAGGAGGTAGCTGATGCCAAGTTCTAAGTGATTGACCCTTTAAGCCTTTGCTAAGAGACAAGTTCTGGCATGCCCAGAAGATCTCAAATAATTGCTTTTGAGATTCCCCATTAGGTAAGACTCACCCATGTTAAAACATAGTTCAGCAACAAAGATATCACTAGGGGTCATCGTCATCCTCAAAACACAACAAACACCTCCCTTAATACAAACCGTACAGATTCATTTTAATGATGAATATTATTAAAGGATTGCCAATGGGAGGTTCATGCATCCTCTGTTAAAGAAGATTTTTCTGGCCTCACACCTGCTCTGAGAGAAAACTTGCATATTCCTGTTCCTATATAGACAAAATACCACAATATGATAAGTGGTCTATCACACAGACTCTCAGGAAGCAACGCAAAAACAGTTCCACAAATGGCAGCGTATCATTCTAACTCTAAGAGATCTTCGGTGTTCCGCATGGGTATGGATCAAGAAATGTATATATGACCAACGACCGCCTTGACAGGGATCACAACAGAGTGTCCCGGACAAAGCAGGAGAAAAACGTAGAACAGAACTCGTATTCACGTAAAAAGACTAGACTTACTGGTCTGACAGAGACTGGTGGAACCCCCGAAACTATGGCCCCTGGATGCTCTGCTAACCCAGAACTGAAACTGTTCCCGAAGCCCACTTTTCAGACAAAGATTAGACAGGCCTATAAAACAAAAAATAACACACGTGAGGAAAGTGCTTCTTAATTCAATCAAATACACAAGACCAAATGGGCAGCTGCTGTCCAAAAGCAGGAGGAGAAGACAGGAAGGGACAGGAACAGGACAAATGGACACAGGGAACTCAGGGTGGAAAAGGGGAGCATACTGTCACATTCTGGGGATTGCAACTAATATCACAAAACAATATGTGTATAAATTTTTGAATGAGAAATTAACTTTAGCTGTAAATTTTCACCTAAAGCACAATAGAACAAGAAACGTATATATGAGTGTTTCAGAACACTAGTTCTGCTGGAAGTTAACAGAAATGGGGCAGGGGGTGTTGGAATGTTTCAGGATGAAGTACTTTGGAAAATTCTGAGTTAAACAGACTATTTTATTACTCCAAACCATTCAGAATCTTTAGAATGGGAATGTCCTTACAAATCTCCAAGGAGATCTCTGAACTTTTTGTTTTTGTGCTTAAAAAAATTGTAAAATATTTCCAACAGTCAGAAAAGTACAAAATAAAGCAAAACCGACACCTATATACCCTACACCAAATGTAGACAGGTATCAGTGGTTTACCATATTTGGTTTTAATTTCTCTTAAAAAATAACAAAAGAAAGACCATCATACGGATACAGGTAAAGCCTCTTTCCCCCATATGCCTTCCTCCCTTCTCACAGGTGAATGCTGTCCTCTGTGTGTTCATGAGCTAAGTATGATTTTATTTTGTGCATTTACAAAAATTTATATACTTGTTACTATCCATATATATCCTTTTGTTACTTTTTTTTCTTTTCCACGCAATATTATGTTTTGAGGATTTATCCATTCTAATCTATGTAAATCTAGTTCACTCATTTTAACTTCTGTTTAATACTTCATTGTATACATAACCAATGTTTACCCATTTCCCCAATTAGAGGCCATTTTTTATCAACATTTTTGCTGTTGTAAATAATACTCAGGGAACAATCTTGAATATGCGAACATGTGCAAGAAATCTGTAGGGTATCACCTAGAAGTGGAATTGCTGGATGGTTTATAGAATACGAGCAATTTCAGCTTTTACAGGAATTGCCAAATTGCTCACCAAAGTGATTGTAGCAATTTACTCCCAATTAGCTACGTATAGGAGTTTCTGTTTCTCCACATTCTTGCCAACATTTGGTGTTACCAGACTTATCAGCGTTTGTCGATTGATGGATGTGAAATGGTATATCATTGTGGTTTTACAGGTAGTTCCCGACTTACGACATATTCAAGTTATGACTAACCACACTTATAGCAGTCCCTTTTTTTACACATCTTATCGTTAGTAATATGTACTACGTACAGTGTTGCAGCACATAATTTGCTGATGTTCTCATTCTCAAATGTTTACTCACAGATGTACAATTTTATGATTTACTGTGCAAAACACTGCTATATAGATTTAGTTTTCTAAACTAAATCAGGTGCTTCAGTTGCTTGAAACCATGGACACAAATGCTGATCTCTTTGCTCAAGTCAATAGGCAGATTCAGGAAGAAATGAGATGTTACCGTGAATTATATAAAGAAAAAAAAAAGGACCATACAGATAACTCTCACTAATTTTCTGACTAGAAACGCCATCCCCATTCCCAAGGATAATCCAGATGATACAGAATCTTCCAAAGGTGGAGTTATTACCACAACTTACAAAATGCCGGTGTTGTCCAACTCTTCTTCATTGTTGGAGTACATTTTTATAATTTGTGTATTTTTTATGTATGTATTATTAAAATATATCTGTAATTTTACATGCAAGTTTCCAACCCCCAAAGACAATTAAAAATTGGATTTATAAAGATACTGATAATAAAAGGCAATAATAATGAAAACTAAAAAAAAAAAACAATGAAGTATTCAACTTACGACTGAGTCGTTGGAACAGAACCCTGTCGTAAGTCAGAGACTGTTTTTTGTTTCCCCTCATCACAGGTACTTTGTGTTTTTCCCCTGATTACGGGTGTGGATGAGCATCTTCCCATGTCTTTATCAGCCACTGGGTTTCCCTGCCTGAACTGCCTGTTCCCGTCCTTTGTTCTCTTTTCTATTGGGTCGTTTAGTTTTTCTTATTTGTAAATTGTCTCTAGTCTCTAGCAAGATGCCATAAAACATTCTCTTTTGTTTTCTTTCACATTTCACAGTTTTGCATTTCACATTTGGGTCTTTAATCCGTCTGGAATTTTTTGTGTGTTTGCAATGAGGTAGATATCTAATTTTATCTTTTTAGTCACTTATTTTTTACTGTTAGTGGCACAAGCTGGGACAAAGGAGTTTTGATATGTGTTCCCTATTACTACCACAACATGCTCAAGTTTACTCCAGGTTTTTAAAAGATCTTCACTTACAAAACGTTCTCTTCCAACACTGTTATAAAAGACAGCCTTCCTCAGGTGTAAGCCAGATCTGTGTGCTAAATAGTAGACTTAGGGTACCTACTAAATATGAGCTCCTGGAAGGTATTTAGAGGGTCTTATTCTACTATCCTTGGTACATTACTGAAATCTAACAAATCTCAACACGGCTAGCTCATAAATCACGTGCTCCTGGTGCTTAAATTGTTGGGAGAAAAAAGGAGCCAAGGGAAAATTTCATTCTAAAAAGGGAAAAGCTATTTTATCCCTACTAAACCCGTGGCCATCGAGTCAATTCCGACTCATGGCGACCCTATAGGCCAAAGTAGAACTGCCCCATAGGGTTCCCCAGGAGCAGCTGGTGGATTTGAACTGACCACCTTTTGGTTAGCAGCCGAGTTCTTAACCACAGTGCCACCAGGGGTCCTTATCCCTACTAGACAGAAAAAATATCCTGTAAAAATGAAATACTAAAAACTATTATCTCATTTCATTCCATATGACACCATGGTTACAGTCTTAAGACAATCAAAAGAACACAATCATCCAACTGCAGAGTAGCAAGATCTCTAGCAAAGTGCTACAGCCCAAGTCTCACAAGCAGTTATACCTGAATGGAAGGTAGGGACAATTTGAGCCAGACAGGAGCAGTCTGTAGGCTTCTTCTGGAGTCTTCTTTAAATAGATTACCTAAGAGAGATATAAAAAAGCAACATTTAGAACACTACCAAAGAATGACACAAAACTAATTTAATTACTCACCAAATTTGCATTTCAAGTCTTCCACTTTCAGTGACAAGCATTACGGTGATAATGTTGATTTCTGACACCAAACTGGCAAAATTTCCTTTTCAGCTTGAAGCTGGGCAGCAGCCTTTGGTTTAAAGATGGGGTAAGAGCTCTGAGACAGAAGGCAGATCCATAAAAAGGCCATCCAGAGGCTGTTTACAAGGATGCACCAAACAGATACAACAGCAGGGAAAAGGGAACAGAATAATTCTACCTCCATTACTGTACTATGTGCTCACTGAAGACCAAAACAAGCCTCTTTGTCATTCATAAAAGATCTGCAGTGAAGTCATTTGGTGCCTGGTGAAATCTGAAAGACATGTCACAGTGAGCACAATTCCCCCTGGGAGATCTTTTGAGTTCTCTGCTCTGAGCAAAGCCAGCACTGCTCTCTAAACACTCAATAAAATTACAATGAAACAGGTGAAGATGCGTAAGAGCACTGGAAAACAGATTGGCTTGGCTCTTGATATTAGGAATACTTAAATCCTTCTGGTCCAGCATGATAAATTAATCTTAAACAAAAAGGAGCTCTTCAGACCAGTAAACAACTTCTATTTAACCAACAAATATTTATTGGCCACATACTATATGCCAGGCACTGTATTAGGCACCAATGCCTCTGTTACAGAATTTACATTCCAGTAGGGCAAAGACAATAATTGATGGAAATAAATACAGTCTAAAAAAAAGAAATAAACAGGGTCATGGGAAGAGAATAGAAAGCGGCTACTTGCAGTCAGGGAGGGGGTCCCAGCGTAACACTTAGGGTGAGATCTGCAGAGGAAGAGCCATGGGAAGAGCTAAGTGAAGAGGAGAAAGGGCTTTCTGAGAATTGGGAAGAGTGAGGGTCCTTGAGGCTGAATAGAGTTTGGTGAGTTGGACAGGGAAAAGGCCAGTGGGGCTACTGCAGGGGGCAGGAGGCAGGAGGCAGGGAGGAAGAGCAAGGCAGCAGCCAGGTTGTGAAGAGCAATGCAAACCTTGGGGAGAATTTATTCTAAGTGCAATTTAATATTTTAATTCTGAGCTGAGGACATTGGCCCTTTTCCTCTATAACCTGAATCTCATTTGATTCCTAAATCCTGAGATTTAGAATTAATAGAATTAGTTAGAATTAATAGCATTAGTTCCTTAATATGACCCAATATCAAAATCTTATGTATTTCAATAACAAGAATGGCAGAGTCCCCATTCTTAAAAAGCAGGGGTTCCTCCCCTATTTATAAAGCTTCTTTGAGCTCTAAGCTATTTCACTGGCAATGTACACATATTTAATGATTAATAATTCCAGGATGGGAAAACACCCGAATTCTGAATTCTCTAAAGAAAGAAAGCTAAAGTAAGTAGATAAAGGAGAATTAACAAAATAAAGACCCTTCAACTTTAATAAGAAAATATTCATTTGACAAATAAATATGCAGGTCCGATAAGCACATGCCAGCCAAAGGCAACTGGGTACAAAGCAAAAACAGCACAGAAAATGAAACCATTGTAACGGTGCTGATCTAGACATGACGCACAGATTCTACAAACGGAGAATCACAACTCTAGCTGCACCTCAAATAACTACCCAAATGCATTTAAGCCAACCCTTGTTTTAAAGATACAATTTCCAGTAGCCAATATTAAAAAAAAGGATTTTGTCTTACCCTTATGGGTGGGTTATATAACATAGTTGGTTATAATACAGTGATTTCTCAAGACTAAAGATGCTGCAATATATTAAGGTTGACTATGGCTGCCAAAAGGAGCCCTGGTGGCTCAACAGTTAAGCACTCAGCTGTTAACCAAAAGATCGGCCGTTCAAACCCACCAAGAGGCTCCGTGGGAGAAAGACCTGGAGATCTGTTCCCATAAAGATAACGGCCTAGAAAGCCCTATGGGGCAGTTCTACTTTATCACATCGGGTTGCTATGAGTCAAAAATCGATTCCACAGCACCTAACAACAATAACACAGCTGCTGAGAGGTAAAGCTGCTTGTAGAAAGCTTCTGTGTTTGGATTAGGTAATTAAAGCTTATACAACAACCTTTGAAAAGCAAAAACACATTACCCTCCTCAGGAGCAATTGTGCTCATTTCCTCTAATTCTGAGGCAATCATTCTGTAGGAGGGCAGCTCCAGCCCACATAAAATACTTCTTTAAACTGGCCACCCCACAGGGTTCTGCTACTCATCTTACCTGCATGACTAAGCACACATGACCCATGTTCTTACACTGTAAGAGGAGAGCCTTTGTTTTTATTTTTATCCCAGTGCTAAAATATTGATAAGTGCAAAGTGAAACCAGCAAAGGCCATCTAAATTCCAGGAAGACGCCGGGGCAGGTAAGTACAATGACCTTTTACAACCTAATGACAGATACTTGGGGAAAGTGGGAGAATATTCTCCTGATAAATGAGTGCATGATTAAATGCATGTATGGTGGGGTGACTAAAATACTAAATTCCATTTTTCTAGGAGAAAACATGTCATGTATTCATTCCTGTGCCAGTTCTTAGACAGGTCTCCTTATTAAAAAGAGAAAGAAGAGACAGACAGACAGACGAGGCCTGACGAAAGCACAAAAGGAAAGTAACATTTACTAAACCTTGCTGTTGAGGAATCTAAAGCTCAGAGAGGTAAGGAAACCTTCCCAAGCTCACACTGCTGCTCTGTGATGGAGTGAGAATTTCAACACAAATCAAAACTCTTTTCTGCCTCTAGGAGCCTTGCTCTTCCCACTACTCATAAAGCTGTCCTCCTCTTCCCTTAGTTCTTCCTATGGCTCTTCTGCAGATCTCACCCTAAGTGTTATCCTGAGACCCCTCCCTGACTACCTTACCTCAAGTAGCCCCTTTCTATTCTCTAAGCTCACAGTCATCTCACATATCAAATTCACTTGAAAATATAAACCCAGGCAACAGAAACACAAATCTGGAGAAAATGTTCCTACTCATCCCAATTCTAAATGTCATTATACATGACCTTAAAAATTAGGTGACTTCAAACTATTAACAATAGTTGTTTCTGAGGAACAGAGATGAGAAAAGCTTAGAGGGAAGAAGAGATACTTTCTATTTTATATATATCCACATTTCTTCCATTTTGTGTAGACATGTATCAACTTGTTTTTTTAATATAATTAAATGTTATAAAATGTTAAATGCGTACTCTTTCTAAAAATAAAATCTATATCAATACTTGAAATTTTGTTCCCAGATAGTCTAATATTTCTAAAAATATTTTTGAATAAAATTATTTCAAAGCATCTTCTAAATATCCTGATTTTTCTTTTCTGCTCTAAGGGAGAAAAAATATGTCGTCTACCTTTCTCACTAGATACTAGCTTATATAAACCAAAACCAGAAGAATCTTTCCTACATTTTAATTGACAAAGCTTAACAAAAGTCCTTTGCGCAGGGCTTGGTGTGCCATGCCAGCTCATCCTGGGAATGGCGAGTACATGCATCACTTTTATAAAACTGTCCTACACTTGCCAGGAAGCCCTAGAAACCTTCTCAACAGAATAGAATTTGACGTATCCTTTCTTCTTTTTAACTGACCAGCAGTCAACCAATTAAAGTGACTTAATTAACTTTGATGTTAGGTACCAAGGACCCAAATAACTCAGTTTCTTTAATAAAAGATTCTTAAAGAGCCAGTATTCTAACTTATATATAGTACCAATAGCTATAGGGCTTTTATTTAACAACATAATAAAAATTACAGTACTACAAGCCAGCATCATTTATATTGTTTAGCAATCAACCAATGTTTCCTAAATTTAGTTAATCATGCATCAACTTTCCCAACTTCTGCCACCACGTGTTCCACGATGTACTACCATTTCTGTTTAAACAGACATACTCTTTTAACTTAATTTACTGTAAAATGTCTTATATCATTGCCACTAGTGGAAAACCAGTACCACCTGCCAGAGTCTACACATAAATGAATATTAAAATACATAACTCTTAAAATTTAAAATTTAAAATGTTTGTGCATGCCACACATTGAGAAACAATGTAACAAATACTGACTTTGGACTAATTTTATAGAGCAATACCAGACCAACCTGGGAAAATAAATAAAATCCTCCTAGAATTAATCTGCAAACACAGTGGTCCCTCAGTATCCGGGGGGATTGGTTCCAGGACCCCTCACCTATACCAAAATCCTTGGATGCTCAAGTCTCTTATATAAAATGGTGTATTATTTGCATATAACTTATGCACATCCTCCAATATATTTTAAATCATCTCTCGATTACTTATAATACCTAATACAATGTAAATAGGTGTTATACTATATTGTTTAGGGAATAATAACAAGAAAAAAAGTCTTTTTTTCCCCCGAATATTTTCCAGCCAAGGTTGGTTGAATGTGGAACCCAAGGACTTGGAGGGCTGACTATACTTCTAAATCATTTCTCTGAACTAAAGCTTATGGTCATTAAATCTTTAGGCTGTCAAAAAAATAACATATATGAATTTCAGAAGCATTTTAGAATTTACAACTATATTTCTCTACTCAGGAATTCAATTCCTCTGATACACAAGGGATGATTCTCAAAACAACAAATGGCTTAATATAGTAGTCTAAACAAAACTCTGAGCCATTAATTTGCTAATGGTCCTTCCCTGAGGACATCTGCCTCAGGCCTTACCATGTTTTCAGGTTTGTTTTTTATGTGACATTGTTTTCCAAAAAAAAAAGCCTTATTGCAGATACACATACACACACACCCTAATATATTCAAAAATGAAAACTATGCCCCTATGTTAATTATATTTACATTCTGTTATATGGAAAGTAAACATACTGTACTCTTGAGGATTGGATTTTGGCCATTTTAGCATATTCTTCAATTTTGACATCTGATTTCCTCCTACTTGTTTAAAAGAAGGGGAAACAAAAGCTGAGAAGAGCTTTTCCCAGTCAGGTGCTACCACCAGAACCTTGACGTGATAGCTGTGAAATTAACATTTCAACCATTTTTGAATCAATTAAATTTCTTCAAAATAGAATTTTCCAGAGAACAGATGGTACAACTTGAAAATAGTCCAGAAGCACTAAGATTTACCAAATATGGCAGACTTATACCAAAAAAAAAAAAAAAAAAACAGGGAGACTTTTTTTTAAAGTTTCAGACAACTAGGTTTAGCATACACAAAGTAGCATTACAAAGATGTCACTATGATACGTGTTTCCAGCTCTAGCCCATTAATTAGCAGTCATGATTGGGCCCCCTTCCCTACCCCTTAGAACTGAAAAGTATCATACTTGCAGGATAGCAACTGAGGATAGAGGAAAGCCAAATTTCCCTGGTGAAGCTAACCTGGTTTGAAACCACTGCTCCCTAACTGGCTTCTCCCAACACCCCCCTTTCCTGTCCAGGGTTCCTTCCAGTCAGCAAGGCTTAAAATCTCAAAAATCATCTTTGATTCTATCCTCTCCTTCACTGTTCCCACCCTCATCGAATCAATACCTGGATTGATTCTTTCTCCATAGTTTCTTTCAACTATGGGGTGGATCCAGGTTTGGGGGCCCGAAAAGGATCCTTTGAGGGGAGGCCTGTTTTAAGAAAAAGGACACAAAATATCTTTTTTAATTTTACAAAAACATATGACCATATGAACACCCCACTAGGACTCCTCCAATGGCCCTGAGACAGAGGCCCAAGCAAGGAAGGGGCACCGAATCGTAACTTTCATTAGCTTCCTGATGAATCTGCTTCTGACTTTTCTTTCACAACTATCATCAGCACTTTATTTCAAACCTTGACCACTGCACATTAGGACTAACACTTTTTCTTTCTGCCTCTACCTCCTGCCTACTCCAGTAATTCCAGAACAAGCCTTCGAGAGTGTTAATTCTGCTCGAAAGCCCAGCTCAGACCACCTATCCCTCACCAAGATATGGTTCCAACCTACTTTTCCTGGTGAATTTGTCATGGCTCCTTAAATGAACCCTATTCACTAGCCTGGATTCTTCACCATTCCCTAAACATACTTGATACCTTCCTGTATCTGAAGTTTTTTCTGGAATATTCTCATCATCTCTGCCTATGAAAATTGTTTCCATTTCACTAGACTTAAATATCCACCATCCATCCATCACTTTGTTATACTGTGATAACCTGCATGTTGCTATTATGCTGGAAGCTACTATGCCACTGGTATTTCAAATACCAGCAGGGTCACCCATGATGGACAGGTTTCAATGGAGCTTCCAGATGAAGACAGACTAGAAAGGCCTGGGATCTACTTCCGAAAATTAGCCAGGGAAAACTTTATAGATCAGAATAGAACATTGTTTAACTTGCTTGCTTTGGACACGTCATAAGGAGGGATTAATTGCTACAGGAGGACATCATGTTTGGTGAAAGAAAGGGCCAGTGAGGGCAAGGAAGACCCTGGGTGAGATGGATCTGTACAACAGCCACAATGATGGATTCGAACATGCTGGTAATTGTGAGGCTGACGCAGGACCAGGCAATGTTTAGTTCTGTTGTACATAAGGTCACTGTGAGTCAGAGCCGACTCCGCAACAGCTAACAACAACTTAAATACAGCCCCATGACGCTTTTCTTGTTCAGTTCAGAAACCCCTCCCCTTTCTACTTAGACTCCAAAATATGACATTCAATGATACACACAATAACCATGACAACAACGATGATAATAAAAACAAACAGTAATATAATGCATACTATGTGCCAGGCACTTTATACAATTTGGCTAATTAATCCTCACAATCACCCCTATAAATTTCCATTATAATTCCCATTTTACTCAGGAAGCGTTGAGAATTAGACGCCCAAGGTCACAAAGTGCCATGCTGGAGACAGGCAATCTGGTTCCCATATAAGGTACATACTCTAAATCACTTCCTGATGGGCCCTCACAGCTCTGTTGTGATTATTTTCCTTTATACTAAATTGGAGAGCACCCTGAGTGCAGTAACCAAGTTTTCTATACCTTTATAAGCCTTGCAATGCTTCCTGTCAGACAGATGCTTTACATTTATAAAAGTACTGAGAGTGCATCCATCCTAGAGCGTTAATTTGGCTTAATTAATAATTAGTGAATGAATTTTTAAAAATGTGTCACTATAACTTCAGTGCTAATGCCAGGGGAGCTAGTGAAATTAACTTTCTGAGTATAGCTGTAAGAGAACATCAAACCATGTACAGTGCATTCTCCGAGAATGTGCTAAAAGACAAAGTAATGAAGAGGTAGATTTTAAAAATAAAAGCTCTCTTTCAAATTACATATATCTGCTTATAAAAAGTGTTTAGAGAGTCAAGGCATACTATCTGACTCACTCTCCTACCTCCCATGTCTGTTCCGAAGCTACATTCAGCCACTCCCAACACCTGGTAAAAGGCAGGAAGCAGAAGGTGGAACGGAACACAAGTCACCAAAGATGACTGCAGTTCAATCAATGTGCATTTACTTAATCCTTAGAATTTGCACAGGAACCTGAACAAATACGGGGACACAGGAGGAGTCTGAAACCTTATTAAGGCATTGACAGCAAGGGCTCTGAAGGGGGCCAGGGAAAGCTCCCTAAGAGACCAGGCTTGAAGGGTCTGCTTTACATCATGGAGGGTTTAGATGGTGACCTCCTCCCCTTTGCTGCGGATCTCAGTTCTCAATCACTCTGGTGGGGCCTTCTCTGGCAACCTGATGGGATCAGGCCCCTGCTTTATGCTCTCAACACTCCTTCTCTTAGTCCAGTTTGTCCTCACGTTTCTGTGGTTGATTTAGTCTGTCTCTCTGACTCAGCTGCAAGTCTAATGAGAGACGGATTTCTCTCTCTTCTGTATCTGTCGGACTTGATACTGTGCCTGGCACAGAGCACACACTCAAAAACTGATGATTGCATGAATGGTGGGTTAAAAGGGGCATTTTATCCCTGGTGGCGCAGTGATTAAGAGCTTGGCTGCTAACCAAAAGGTCAGCAGTCTGAATCCACCAGCTTCTCCTTGGAAACCCTGTAGCGCAGTTCTACTCTGTCCTTTAGGGTCGCTATGAGTCGGAATCAACTCGATGGCAATGGGTTATGTAATAACTAGTATGACAAAGTCACAGAACATGGATTATCTATCTAGCAATATAGAGTGTAGTGGTTGGGTACCCCAAGTCCAGAGAAAGTTGTCGGGGTTCAAATCCAGACTCTTATAAGCAGTATTATATTACCTCTCTGTGCTTCAGTTTCTTTACCTGTACAATGGGAATAATAACTAATTACCTCATAAGGTTGTCTGTTGGGAAAATTAAATGAATTAATAATATACAGAAAGTGCTCAGAACTGTTTCTAGCACGCAGCTCTTCTATAGCATGGGACCACAGAAAGGAGACAAACTTCGATCCCAAGATATTTTTTTGCCCCTTTTTACCACCTGTATCCACGCGAATCTGGATCCACACTGTTATTATTTCTCACATCTTTATCCCTAAAGCCTGCTTATGCATATAACAACAACGCATGAGGTTATGAACTTCCCTCATGATTGCTATATACCAAAATCATAACATATTAAACCATCACTTAGTTCAACTCTCTCAATTTAAAGTACAGACGTTGATTCTACTCTCAGCTCTGCCTCTTCAGTCTCCTGAGTAGCAACTATAAAGTAAATGTTACTGGCTCCGGCTTTACCAAATTCATTACCAAAATGTCAGAAGATCTCTAAGGTAGCCAGTGTCCCTCCCCACAGAAGTACATGTAAACAGAACAGAGTTGATGTTGCTATACTATACTCATTTTTTTTGCTTATTTGAACTTCTCATGAACAAAAGAATAAGATTACCAGGTCGGGTTTGTTTTTAGGAGAGGAAAGCAATTACCAGTTACCTGCAAAGAATGAACCACAAAACTCCATGGAACAAATTCCTACAAAAACACACTGTGAAGTGAGAATCTCTACAAATGACTGAAACATACAACTTTTAACCTCCCTTCCTTGGTTCCTGAGACCTTGGTTCTCAGACTTCTTAAATGTCAGGACACTTAATTTATAAACTGCTTTTTCCTGAAGACAGCATTGTCTTAATTGTCATACACAAGCACAAACAAAATGTTTAATTTTATTATTTTTAGCAACATTTTCTTCTTAATCATTTCCTCCCATTATACCCAGTGACTGAGAAACAATATCTGCATTTAATTTTAAAACTTGTAAAAATAGGAAAAAGGCATACTTTTTTAAATGCACAACTGAGTCTACTTTTGTTCTAATTGCTTAGGGAAATAGAAATATTCAGTGTTTCACAATTCCTTACAAATTAGATAGGTTAATCTGATTATAACCAGAAATACAACTGTATATTTATAACAACCTGTATTTTACTCAGTCTATTTTAAATCTATCGTGCTAAATACTCTAATTAAAACAACAAGAATGAATGCTACAGTCTTTGATTGAACATACAGTAAAAGAAAGCAAGTCGTTCTTCTTCAAGATTATAAATCACAGAATATAAGGCCTGCAAAGTATAAGACAATGATGCATTTGCTTAACAAATCTGGAGTCAAGATTAATCATAGAGGTAAGGCAGAAACTGACGTCAAGTATCTCCATCACTTATTTTTCTCCTAAAAGTACTAAATAAACTGGTATCCTTTCCTTATGAGAACAAGGTGTAGAACTGACTGTGGTATCTCTTTACACTGTAATTTGAAATTGGGATCTCATATACAGTCAACAAGCAGTGGACTTTATTTATTGAAGAATTAGTTCAGAATAGAAATACTCTCCCCCTCCCACCCCCACCCCATGGGTGTAATTAGAGTAAAACCAGGGGCAGATCTTTGATGGGCAAGTTAGGAGAATTGTGGACAACATTAGCTATGTTATATCTTCCCATTTAATTTGATGGGAACTGGACTCTTCATAATAAGCCTGAAAAGATGTCCTTTCAGACCTGACAGCTAGACCCAGACAAATACACATCACTTGCTAGCCCTGAGTCTCGGTAACACGGCCTTGTCCTGCCTGAAGAGAGCTCACTTCCCAATGCAAACATCACTGAGCTGGCAACATGGCATTGAGCTAGCCCAGCCACTTATTAAACAAACCAAGAACACTAAGCTAATGTTCTCAACACATAGAAATCTAAAGGGACCCATCAAAGGGGAATGGAAGAAAATGTTTCATCTCAAGATAACCTGAGCCTAGTGCCACACAATCTGAGCACAAGGCTGTTATGTTACAGCACGCAGGTAAACATAATCCTGTATATCATCTATCATTCATCATCAGAAAGCAGTCCCTATATAAAACACAGAAACAGGCTTGCTCCAGAGTACCACTTGAACAATACAGAGTCTCAAACTGAATGGTTTCAGGTAAAAACTCCTCATGCCAAGTTTCACTGCTTACTCATAAAGCTTTTTCAAGTTAAGAAAGTGAAAAACAAAAAAAGTGAGAAATACGTATTCTTTAAACCGAAGACTGAATTACATCAAGCTTAGAAGGCAGAGAACTATAACTCCATTATCTATGATGAAGATACTAATCATAGGTTCACTATAATAAACCAAGATCCAGTGTTTAAACTCTTCTTAATACCCATCATCAATTATACTAAGACCTTAACTTGCAAATGAATTATATTCCAAATATTTATTCAGAAAGGTTAACATTATAACTCTGGAAATATTTTCCAGAATTTTTAGGTTCTTAGGCTAGTCCAAAAATGATTACTTATTCCATCTTGTCACTAAAATCATATATCTAAAACAAAATGTAGTACAAAACATTATTTCAAAGCCTAAAAGCTAAAACATAAAATAATTAAATAAGTTTGTTTGCATCTTAAATTATCTTCCCTCAGTGCTAAGACTTGAGAAACAAGTAGATGAGGAAATCAATGAAAATATTTATAGTGACTCTAAAGTGAATCTTGAATTATTTCATGTGTTTTAGCTGGTACTATATTATATCTAACTGCACTTCAAAATGCATGGTGGTGTTGGGTGCCATCGAGTCAATTTTCAATTCACTGTGACCCCATGTGACAGAGCAGAACTGCCCCATAGGCTATTCTAGGCTGTAATCTTTACAGGAGCAGATTAGATGGCCAGGTCTTTCTCCCACAGAGTGGCTGGGTGGATTCAAACCACCAACCTTTAGGTTAGCAGCCAAGCGCTTAATCATTGCACCACCAGGGCTCTTTTGAAAATGCATAGTTTTCTTAATATATTGGCATTAGGATTGATCTTAAATCTGAGGTAGGGGTGAGTGGAAGCAGGGCAAATAAGAGAGGAGAAAGATAGTTTTTTTTTAATTGTACTTTAGATGAAGGTTTACAGAGCAAATTAGTTTCTCATTAAACAACTAATGCACATATTGTTTTGTGACACTGGTTGCCAACCCCAGGACATGTCAAGACTCTCCCCTTCTCGACCTTGGGTTCCCCAATACCAGCTTTCCTGTCTCCTCCTGCCTTCTCGTTCTTGCCCCTGGGCTGGTGTGCCCATTTAATTTCATTTTGTTTTGTGGGCCTGTCTAATCTCTGGCTGAAGGGTGAACCTCAGGAGAAAGATAGATTTTCCTGATGCAACAGGAGGAAAATAATTGAGAAGAAAAATGATAAAGGTAAAAAATTTTCTGGACATACACAGAAGGAAGATTGCCAAACCTGCCAGAGATGGAAGCCGACTGGTGTGGCACAGCAGTAAGACCAATGTGTGGCTTGCTTCCCTTCGACGCACAGAAGCCTATGATAACGCTAGGAGGAGGGAAGAATGCAGACTAGACAATCCAATGTATTCATTTTAGAAACTACAGCATGCACCGCAGGGATTTAAAAAAAAAAAAATCTTTTCAAATATAGTCATCTTATTCTTTTCCACATGTTAAGATGTTTATAGGTGAGATATTATCCAGACTTTTAAGACAGAAGTCACACACCATGTGAACTAAATCTCAAATCTAGAATCTTATAGTAACTTCTAAGTTACTATTCTTTAAACTTACTCAAGAATAGAAACCAACAATGAACACAAACAAGGAACAGGTTGTCCTCTTCCAGTATGTACAAAAGAGTCGTTGCTTAGAGAAAGCAAGAGAAACAAGAGCCTTGCACACCAGTCAGGTGTTTGCAGAAAGGATTCTGGAGCAAATTTTTCTGTGCATGAGCCCAAACTGTTCAAACATATGCCACATGACAGGATCATCCTGCAAGAAGATAATAGAATTAACCATTCTTAAATGTGTATACTTTTTTTTTTTTTTTTTTTTTAAGAAGCAACTATGTTCCCTATGGCACAATGGTTAAGAGTTCAGGCTGCTAATCAAAAGGTCAGCAGTTCGAATCCACCAACTGCTCCTTGAAAACCCTATGGGGCAGTTCTACTCTGTCCTACAGGGTCGCTAAGAGTCGGAATCGACTCGACGGCAGCAGAAACAAGTGAAGGTATCTTCAACTCAAATAAAAGTAACTTAAATTCAACCTACAGCTCTATTGCAGGTTGTCCATCTATCCACCTTCTCTGCAGCTCCTGGGAATTTACCACCCTTTCTGACTCAGTGCTGTAGGCAGACCCCACCACTTCCAGAAAATGACGGCCCTTCAACCCCTGGCTAGCAACTTCTCACCCCCATCTTTTGACCAGCAGCAAAACTTGCATTGCAGGCTTAGTAGCAGTAATGAAGATGAGGAAAGGGAAGAAGAAAGGAAAGGAGACATGCAGAGACTTCACCACAGCTCTACACACAGGTGATTCATTTATTTATCGAACAAATAGTTACTGATTGCTCTGTTACTGGTGTCTGGCACCATGGACAATACCATGAACCAGGCAGATGTGTTCCTGAACTCAGAGAGCATTTCTTGTATGATATTTCAGATCCTCCAAAACAAGGGATTCAAACTTCAAGTACTATTCAGAAAAACCTCTAAAGCTATTTTAAGACACAGATATCCTGACCTCTCTCCCTGAAATTCTAATTCACCAGATATGAGATCTGGCTCATGGATAATTCTGATGAAAAACTGTGGTTGAGAACCATTATTATAAGTCAGAAGGCTAAACACCTGAACTATACACAGAACTAAAAATAAACCTTATGCCCTTAGTTTTAAGTGATAATTGGTCTTTCATCAAGTTGAAGTCTCCTCGAGAGGTGTACACTTTCAATAAACTCCAAGGACACCTCACTAGGCTTTGCCAATGTCCTTTACAACTCATACAATAAATCCCTTCTTCGTTTGTGTGTCTATTTGTAAGCACCGAGTTATATTTTAGGGATGTAAAAATGAAGACGACATGGTTTCTGTCTTAAGGAAGCTCACAGGGAAGGCAGACATGTAAACAATCAGACCATTATGGCAAAAGCAGCACAAAAGAAATATGAAGCAGAGATAATTTTATCATGAAGAGTTTTGAATAGAGTTCTAAAAGATGAGTTTAAAAAGTCTTCTTAAGTTCATACCGGATCATTTAAACTCTCCAACAGCTTCCTACATCCCCTTAAGTACAAAGCCCTGGCAGAGAACTCAGTCCTTATCACCTACATTAGCCTCTACCCTCTGTGTTCCTGGCACATGGGCTTTCTCTTGGTTCCTCAGTCATATCAAGTTCATACCCATCTTAAGGACTTTGTACTTGGTATTCTCTCTGCCTAGAACATTCTTCCTCCTTATCAGCTTAACTGTCACCACCTCAAAGAGGACTTTTCTGAATCTCTGATCTGAAGCAGCCAGCCAGTCACTAACACATCAGCACAATTTCATTCTCTGCAGAGTCCTTATTGCTGATCTTTTGTTTGTGTATTTTCTGTCTCCCCCACTAGAACACAAACTCCATGAGGGATTTTATATCTCTTGTTCACTGCTATATCCTTAGAGCTTAGAAGACACTCTGGGACAGGTGCTCAATAATTATTTTTTCAATGAATGAAAGAACGAACAAATGAACCAGACAGAAGGGGGGAAGGGAAGATTATTTACCTTTAAAATAAAGAGTTTTTATTCAACAGTGACGGCTATAGAAGCCTCCCATTTCCCCCTTTTGACTGAGCTACCAGGAAATTCATTACCAACTTTTGAGCTTCACTATCTAGATTTTTTTTCTTTTTTTTTGCTTTTTGCTTTTATGACCTTCATTCCCTTTCTATCACTTGAGTTTTGTCTCTTTGTCTTTTTTTTTATAGTATCATGATATTTCGATATACATATAAAATCCTTTCTGGGAAATAGGAAATACAGAAATATTTTTTTAACTAGTTCAACCTCTAGAGCTAAGCAGGCATATCTTACAGGAAAAATACATATATATACCAATAAGGGTCTTATTAAAAAGATAATAAATTCATGTAAGTTCTCCTTCTTTAAAATCCCTGTTTAAAGCCATTCTCCACCATAACTTGACATAAAACCTAATTCAATATACCAAATATTGAAAAACACACCCTGAGTGCCTGTTGTTTATGTCTGCCCAACATCCAGCACCTTGATTTTCCTCTGGGGTGGATTAAGTCCCAAGTTAGACCAATTGGACTCACCTGTTCAGAAATATCAATCTCACATAGAGTAACACAAAGACTAAAAATGGGAGTCATTCCATCCTAAGAGCATTACCCTAAAGCAACTGCCCCTAAGTCCCTTCTGCTGAAAGCTCCAAAGGCATCCTTGGTCCCTCCTCCTATCTGTCTAAAAATATCCTTTTTTCACTTGAGTTGGTCAGAGCCAGTTTCTGTTGCATGCAACCAGAAACTCCAATTAATATAATACTGCTGTTCTATATCCTAGTCAGTTAAGAAAGAAGGAGGGGTGAGAGGAAGAAAGCAAAGAGAAGAAAAGGGGTCAGAAACAGGAGAAAGAGGTAGAAGTAGCAGGAAAAAAAGAAAGACGGAGAGTGACGGCTACACAGGGATAGACAGAAGGAGTTGTAGATAAGCAACAAGCAAAGTGTGGGAAAAGAGATAATTGTTTTTTTTCACACAATGGTGTTCACTTGGACTATGACAGTGAGTAAGCTAGAGGCTGCTAAGGCAGAGAAGAAGGAGGACTGGAATGCCAACGATATAGAGGGTTCTTGTCCCTCCCAGTTCTGCCTCTGGTGAGAAGTTACTAGATTTCTCTGGGTCTCCTAGTGCAGTGAGGAGGGAGAGTGGAGAAGGGTAGAGGCAGGCAGGCAGGGTTGGGGGAGAACCTCTCTAAGATCCATTTCTGTAACTCAGTGGAGGGTCACATATACAGCTCTACTAGAGAATTCTTCAGAAGGGAAATTATTCTCTAGGTTGCTAGAGTAGCACAGTTAAAGCCAGAGATCACCGTCTCACCCTCATCTCATACTGAAATCTTTAAATATTTGTATTTAACCTGAGATCAAGGTCAATCGAAGACCCTTTAAAAAAAAGTAAAATGGAAAATGGAGTTAATAGAGGGAATCCAGTGGCCCACATCCTCAACAAATTCCAAAATTTTTACTTCCATGTAACAGAAGGACCTTAAGCAACAACTTAAATCTCATTTCTTCTTCCATGAATTCAGAAGTACAATATTTTCATCAGTCACTATACATATTAAAATCTAATATCTAATATATCTTTTAAAACTACGTGCTAATAGCATAATCCAACACCAGGATATCCTAAAAGTTTTTGTTTTTCTAAAATCATACATCTACTTGTAGACAGAAAAATGAAATGATTTTAGAAACTCTTTTAAAATGTGAATCTGAAATAAAGAAAAAATGTGAATCTCATGTTGTCACTTATTTCCATTAAATTGCATAGATGTTTTTCCATAAAAGAATACAATTCCCTCCAGGGTTGTCTCCTATCTCATTCATTCCTTCATTCATTAAAACAACTGAGCCAGACTCTATGTTTGGCACTAAGGATACAAACAGGAGTAAGAGACATCCCTTCCCTCAAAGGCCTCATTCTAGTAAAAGAGTATAAGCGTGTGCTTATATATATGCATGCATATAATTAATTCCAAAACAAGGAGAGAAAAGCTATAATCAAGCCATGTTCTGGGTCAGATAGTAAGAAAAGGACAAATTAAGGAGGGAAGATGAAGAAAGGCTTCTCCGAGGAGGGGATAATTTTTTTTATGACCTAAGCAATTTTCCAAAGCCAAACTCACTTGCCATCGAGTCGATTTGGACTCACAGCAACCCTACAGGACAGAGTAGAACTGCGCCATATGGTTTCTCAAAGCAGGCTCCACTAAATGACTCACACACTCGCTCATGAAAGAATTTTAAGTCTGGTTCATTCTAGAGTACGTAACTTCCCATGTAAAGGCTTGTCTGTCTGCTCATCAACTTAATGAACCACAAACGCTCCTCTCCTATTAAATAATTCTGAGGCACCGCAGCGACCCTAAATATTTCTTTTAGGCTGAGGTTACTGTTTCCCAGCCCTAC